AGATTGTTTATTTTGTTTCTTTTTATTTCTTTAAGAAAAATAAACTTTAATGGAATTTAATGGAATTGCTTGCTTCAGTAGTGACAGTGTTTTCTAGTTCTAGTTCCTCTTTATTAATATCTCGGACGACCAGTGTTTCATACATCCAATTGTTGTAATGTAATTGTAACTCCTAGCAAGTGCAGTATTTTATTATATTTAATTCATATAATCATTCCTAACTAGTGCAGTATCGGCAGGTAACCGATGGATGCACGTCGCGTCCGATCGGCTGGTCTGGAAATCTTTGGGGCTGATATGATGAAGATGACGATGATGATGAAGTGCTGTATTTCATATACATTCAATTCATGTAATAATCCCTGACAAGTTCCTATTAGTAATTTTTCTACTTGTTTTTAGTTACTATTTAAGTTACATTTTATAATTTTAGTGTTTATCACACTTGTACTTACGTGCCATCTCATTTTGTAAAAAGCGGTTCCAACTCAAAACCAGCGTCACAGCAGGCGAGCTGTAACATTATGCTGTGTTGGATCCGTTTCAGCTTTTAGATAGTGATATGTAATAATTAATGTGAATTACCTGTTTAGTTTGAATTACCTTAAGCTGAATAAACGTTTCTTTCTTTCTTTCTTGTCCCGCGACACAGGGTTTCCCTAGTGCGGGGCTATGCTGAGTGTGTGCGTGTGCGTTATTTGTTTCTTCTTTCTATTTATGAATATGTTTAATTAACTTTCTTCGATGTTAAGATCGTGACAGTCATAACATTAATACGATGGGGAAAAATAAACTAGCTGTTCTTGACGTTTAAAAGTATAGTGAAAAAAAAGAAACTTTATAATGTAGGTTATTATTACACAGCTTCTGCGACTTGGGTAACAAGAATTCGTGGCAGTGACCCGTTTAGCTCTTGCAGGTAGACTCCATCTATGATGTTTGAAAATATATTGTAAATGTGTACAATTTTTAATTTAGGTACAACGAGTATTCTCTGGAGTTTCTTGCTCATTCTTCTCGAGGTAACCTGCCTTATGAATGGGACGTAGAGTTTAATCAAAATGATGATTTCAAATGTAATTTGCATACCTATGAAACAAAGATTATTTGTCTTGACCTAAAACGAAATACGGAAAAGGTATATAATTCTAAATACTGAGATGCTTCGCTGTCGCACGTGTAGGGCCATTATAATCGTAAATTCCCAAGCTTCACGCCGTGATAACTACCGCCATAAAAAATCTGTATTCTTCATTCAAGATGGTGGCTCAAATTGCACCTCTTTAAGTAAAAAAAAATATATTTTTAGTAGGTTCTATACTTGCACATGAAATCAGACTTCTGGTGCTCGCAACATATATTTCTTTTGAAGCAATGTGAGCTATAATCATCATCAACAAAATTTTTATTGAATTGATATTCAATTATTTTTTGTGAAATTACTCCACTAGTTTGTTATAATTATTAATACAAAGATCGAACACTTAGAAAAAACACTCAGAAAAATATCATAGATGGCGCTACGACTAAAAAGTCGTTGAAAGACCAAGTACAAAGACACGACGCAAGCACATAGAAAAATTCGTGAGGTCCGTTGGTTCGTTCCGTGGCTTAGTTGGTATAGCGTCTGGCACGATATGCAAGAAGACGTCGGTTCGAATCCGACCGGATCGAAGGAATTTTTTTCTGAGTGTTTTTTCTAAGTGTTCGATCTTTGTATTAATAATTATATCATCATCATTATCAACCCGTTTATACGTCCCACCGCTGGGCACGGGTCTCCTCTCAAGCGAGGGATTAGGCCATAGTCTCTGAGGCAGTGGTTCATACCATTAGTTTGCCACGACTTTTAATGTGAGCTAATTTTGTGGGAACTTACACAGATGCAATAAACGCATTAGATGTTGCCCAATGCTAAACTAAGACGAGTCTATCTCCAATCTTGGTCTTGGTTTCGGTCTTGCCGAGCCTCGCGAATCTTACAATTACCCATCGAGTCTTACGTAACTAGAAATAGGAACGAAATGAGGGTTATCTGTTTCTGGGGGTCTACTCTCGATCTCCGTCGTACATCCGTCCGAAACAATTACTGCCAAATAAGCAATACTTGACCAAATGAAAAGACGCGTGATGCGAATGAAGCTTCATACTTGATACTTGTCTTTTAATTTTGTCGAATATTACTTATTGGACAGTAATTGTTTTTGACGGATGTCGGACGGAGATCGAGAGTAGACCCCCATTTATCATTTAAAATAAATAAATTATTGTTAATTAATAATAAAACAGAAGTTTCAGTTACACAAACTCAAAATGGCGTCTAAAATTTGCAATACATTACTGAAAGCAGTAAGATTGAAGGAAAGCCTTACTGTATTTAAAAAGCAGTTAAATAATTTATTAATAAATTAAATCATCGTCAATGATTATGTTCTTTTCGAGCCGTTGCCGAGGAATAAAGCATTTCCCATTTATAAATTCAAAATTAATCTTTCAGGTCATGACCCATGGGAGAGGCGAAAGTCTAAAATAGATATCCACATTAATAATGTTTTATTTATAAATCACAAATAATAGTTTCATTACAATATTTTTATAAATCGAAGTTATACAAGATTATCTTGCGCGACCCAAGAGGATCCTGTCTCGTTGCAGGTAAAGAACGTTAAACTCTTTATGCATTAATATATCTTCCTATTTTGATGAAAAAGGCGACAAGCGCCTGTCCTTTTTGACATACGAAAAATATATTTATGACACTGTAAATAAATATATTTTTCGTATTTCGGAAATGATATTGGAACTACAGTTTTTAGTGTAGTGTATTTGACAGTAATTGTTTCGGACGGATGTCGAGAGTAGACCCCCAGATACGAATCGGACGTAGAGCGCAAACGCTCTCGACTGTTTTTCAGTTGATGTGCAAGAAATTTTAAAGTACCATTAACAAAACTTAAATTAAAACAAAAAAACACCATATGAAATAGCAAACTCAAAGTCAATAAAGTCACCGTATACTACTATTCTATATACTATACTAAACTATTCTATGGAGAAGCTGAGTGAAGAAAAACTTTCATAGATTTCGCACGTAGTCGAGATCAATTCAGTGGGCTCAAACAAAAAAAGTTTGATACAGACTGTCCTGATTGCAGTGTCAAATCGAAGTTACCGTGTTATTGTCATGTCGTCGGATTAACATTGTACACCAAATTTTAAGTTGATCGGCTAAGTGGGAGTAAAATAATATTCTTTGTGTGGCTTAGATCCATACACTAAAGGTCGTTTCCTGACTTGTCGGTCCGCACCGAAAAATCTGAAAACGGCCCAACTGGGAAAGCAATGGTCATTAAACAGCTTAGCAAAAATGTTTATTAAAGATAGCTAAAAAACATCCCTAACAATTTCCTTCAAATAAAAATCGCTTTGAGATCCTTGCCCTCTGTTTCGGAGTTACGATGCCACAGATAAACATACTGACAGATACCCAGATATACTGACTGATATTTCAAACTTATAATTCCCCCCTTTATACTGTGAAACAAAAAGAGAGCAGGTGCGGATCGGGCGCAGCTCGGGTCGGGACTGCGGCGGATCTAATTCCATGTATTTAAGACGACAACACATCGAGTGTGGCCGCTCTCTGTGATTTTCACGTTTAAGTGGGGGCTAAATAAAATATACGACAATACAGGTCATGACAAACACCAAATTTTAATTTTAGGTCTGGAACTTGAAATACTCGTGGTCAAACTATGTTAAGTCTGTGGGGAAAAATATTATTTTGCTCTCGCAAATATGTGACTGTGGAAAAAGAAAACTTAGTAAAGAAAAGTAAAAAAGAAATGTGCAGAACTGTAAACAAAGTAACATTGCTGCGTTCCTTCCTTACAGAAGTAAGGTCAACATTCCACCTGTCATCATGTTGCCATCTAGGCTTAATTTTAAAATAATTATTAATATTGGTCTTATATTGGTAGGCCATCACAGCGATCATATTATTGAGCGATCTGTTTGATCTACATTGATACTTATAAAAAAAACATATACTTTTTTATATTAATAAAACAAACCTTGTACATAGTTTAGTCTTCTACTTATTATTATTGGCTACCTCCGTGGTCGAGTGGCTTGCACACAGGATTTCATGATGTCGCCAACTCTGGTCCCGGCCGGGTCAGTATATAAAAAGTTTTCTATATTGCCTCGGGTATGGGTGTTTGCGGAACCGTTCTTGTTTGCGATTTTTATAACACAAGTGCTCTACTTACTTACTTTGGGATCACAGCAACGTACGTGATGTTGTCTAATTACAATAAGTTAAGCCTCATTATTCATATATGTTGGAGCATTAGACAATATATCTCTATATGTTTGTATGCCTTATGTTTGTCTGGACACTTCAATTATTATAAATTATATAAATTGAATAAGTGTGATAAATGTAATTGTCTATATCGATCTTTCTTTCCAATTGTATTATAAAATACCCCACTCTTCATAATCCTCCAAAACACCTTCAATCCTTTCTTTACATCGTTTGTCTAATTTAATCTCTAAATTAGTTACATTTTATTTGCCTATATCAGGAACAGCATCTTCAGAAGCAAAAATGAACGGCAAAACGTAAATGCTTACCATCAACCCATAGTCTAACCTTTCCAGATACTGTCTCTCAAATTCTTTTCTCGGATATAACGCTACAACATCCAAATCAAAGTACGAAACAAACTTGTTTGTATGCATTATATTTTTCTGGGCACTTCGATCATTACAAATTATATAAATTGAATAAGTGTGAAAAATGTAATTGTCTATATCGATCTTTCTTTCCAATTATATTATAAAATACCCCACTCTTCATAATCCTCCAAAACACCTTCAATCCTTTCTTTAGATCGTTTGTCTAATTTAATCTCTAAATTAGTTACATTTTCTTTGCCTATATCAGGAACAGCATCTTCAGAAGCGAAAATGAACGGCAAAACGTAAATGCTTACCATCAACCCATAGTCTAACCTTTCCAGATACTGTCTCTCGAATTCTTTTCTCGGATATAACGCTTCAATATCCAAATCAAAGTATGAAACAAACTGTTCCAAACAATGGTAGTATAAATTTTTCAGGTCATTCAAGTGGTCCTTGCGTAGTTTCTTGTCTGTACCAGTTATGATGAAATATATGAAATCGTTGATTGGGCATCCGTAGTAGATAGTTTGGTAGTCAACTGGTATTATTTCTGTCACCACGCCGTTCTGGAACAATGAAATTAGTTACATTAAAATTCTTCTGTGATCAGGTTTCTTTATAAATTTGTAATGTTATTATACGGGTTGGTAAAGTGTATTCCATAGAACTAGAAGTACTTAAAGAAAACTGCCGAAAAGGTGTTATAAGCCTACTTACACGACATGATGATTCCATTAAGGATCTGATCGAAGTAAAAGTAAAAGCCGAACCTGGACGAAGACGACCGAGAATAACGTTGACCAAATCAAAAGAAAAGTACAAAGTATGACGTTTAAGGAGGTCAATAAACAGCTTTACAGAAGACAAAATGTAATTTACTACACCGACAAGAGCGTACCTCTGATATCTAATTAAAGTGTATTAGAAAGATTTTAAAGGAAAGTCGTCACCGTGAAATACAAAAATATGTATTTGGTGTGGTATGGTTGCCACGTCGTATAATGAGGTAAATAATAAACTTTTGATCAAAATTTAGTAGTCATATACATAGCCTCGCTTTAACATCTAAGAAGAAGTTTGTTTATTCCTAAAGTTTTTCAGTTCTCAAATATTGTTGTATAATTACACGGTACGTATTTGTAACGGAAACATAGTCCTTATTTTAAAACGAATCTACATTTATGAATGTTGTCATTAATTGTAGAGCTGACTGCTTATTCTAGTAACTTCTAGTAGACCTTGGTGAAAAAATTCGTCCAGGGAAATACTGCAATCTTACCTATTTCTACCGCGAAGCAGTAATGTGAGCTTTGGATTTTGAAGGTTATAAGGGTGCTGGTGAAATTTCAGGCATATGGGACTTGTCAACTTGAAAGGGTTGTAACCCTAACTAGCCGTGAACAGGTTCACGGCAATGAAACGGGAAACTTCCGGTCCACAAAATTTATTAAAAGAAGTAAAGTTACAAGAAAGGGCTTTAACAATAAAAAGGTAAATGTTAAAAAAAAAACAGGTACAACAGTATAAAACACTCCCTACGCTTTATTATTAAGGCACTTACCCCTAAATGGGCCGAGTAACTGAATTACAGGTATAGGTACACGAAGGCTGTAGACTGTTATAAATAATTACACATGATTTAGCTTATTTAATGATTATAAACGTAATAAAGAACCAAAATTAGCGATTACACGCGATGGAATTCGAAACAGCTCCGACTGTTGTGGCGGTCGAGCAGGTGACCGTGGTACGAAAACAAAATGAGAAAGCGAAGGAAGATGGAACAATTCAAATTTAAAATTTAAATACAAGTAAAATAAAATAATGATACCATAAAAAGGTGAGATGCCTGTGAAAGGAGGTCACAGCGTCACAAACTTATGTCTCAGGGTGACGGGTATGGTGGCAGTGCCCCTCAGAGCAGAGATTAAAGCTCTGATTGGCACTAGAACTCATCATCATCCTTATACTTGGCTTAATAAAAAACCCTATTTGTTTTTACAATACTTTCAGTGATGTCATTTTTTTACTTGCATATAATTTTCAAATAAGTTTTACTAAATTACTACTGGATCGTGTTAGGGCATTGCAAACGACAGAATTTAATTACTGTTCGGCAGTTCATTGGTTTCCCGCAAAATTGCGCTTCTACAAACGAAAAACAATGCCACTCGCATACAATCATACATACGAGTAGATTTGGATTATATCAAAATCAGACAAAGAAACTGACCATTGGACGATTTACATAATAACGATCTATTTAGAGGGCTTTCGTTTTGAATTGAAACAATAACTGACAAAATTATAAATACAGTAGTTAGTTCTTTTGATGCTAGATGATGAGGCTAAATTCGTTCTCGTTAAATTCTCAGTACAAACAATATATAAAAAAGAACTACGTAAATTGGTGTGACAGGCACATTTGTTTATTTGTTATTATTAATATAAGCTGTTTTAAAATTGTTCTACGACATACGTATTTTTAAAATAATATAAGTAAAACTTACAGACTCCTTCATCAGCATATTATTCGGTCGATAATCTCCATGACAAACAACGCTACCAACAGGTTCCTTATCTGTTAGGTATTTTGGCAACTTTTTTATGAAATCTGGAAACAAAAGTTCCAATTTCTTCTTGCGAGCATCACCTAAGTTAGAGGACATTTGATTAAGCATATTTGTATAGAACGTTTTCCAATCTTCACAAAACTTAAAGGGCTGATCCAACACCATCAGTTTTTGCTTGTAATAATCAGGTTTCAGTTCTTGAAGAACGAAGGAAAGACCATGGAATTTAGCAAGTTCTTTTATAGCCAGCTCAGCAAATTGAAGTGAGATGCCATCCATTCTATATGGTGTTGTGAAACCCTTTTTGGCAAGGTTGTCCAGCATAATAGCTTCAGGGCCTGATGGATAACACTTTACAGTTTTGAATCGTTCTCTATCAGGCACCTTGATTGTCTCTTGTAATTCTGCGAATATCTTAAACATATCACTGTATGCAAATCTTTCCTTTAAATAAACATCAGACACTGAGAAAATGCTCTGTTCACTTGGTATCATGTATTTAATGAATATGTTGGTTTCTTTTTCTTCTTTAGCTGTACGTCCTTTTATGTCAACTTCGTAAAGTATTGATAGATAGTTGCCTCCGACAGTACTAATTAATCGTGTTTTCATATTATAGTTTGCATATTCTTCTTTCTTAATGACATCATGCAGAGGTTTTAGCAATGACCCTGGAAAGTTATCTTTGTCGTCATAGTTTTTGGTATCTGTATTCTTCTTCGGGCTGTGATTGCAACAACTTTTTTCTACTTGCATTTTTCACTTTACCAAGCTCTGGTGGATTTTAAACAAAATGTTAGTGCACAATAAATTTTATTTAAAACACCACAAACACCATCCAAAACACAAATGGAAAATGAGTCCTATATTACTGCTTCGTCGTTTAAATACAAGGCCCTGTGAACAGCCGCTTTGTCAAATAGAATATTTTTTATTATGATTGTGTACATTACTAAAGACTGTTTGTCATTTTTATCAAGCAACAAACTGCCGCGTTGTCGTGCAAACGGGTTTATACGTATTAGTTAACATGACTGTATGTAATTGAAACGTTGAAATGAAGTAAATTATGGTTTGTAGGCAAAATGCATCCTTCGCGTCACGATGGTTAGTGATGCTGATATGAATTTAAAATCCATTGTTATTTCATGACGATATTTTCAAACCTACTCAGGCATTTGTATTGTGAAAATATGTTAATAGGAATTAAGAGCTGTGTTTTGCTGTAAATACTTGACTCTTTATATTCATTACGTATTTATTGGTCTTGTGTATTTGAAATTTAGTTAACAATATATTGAAATTGATGAATATTTTTTAAAAGAAAGTAGAGGGTACTTGTTTCTTTTTTTTGATATATGGGCATGTTTTTTATGATAATGAGTGATAGGACGACCATGTCGTACGCAGAATAATAAGCGACACGTCTATCCATAATGCTTGCAAAAATTTTAAATCGCAAACACCTGAAGAGCACTACATCGGCGCCCGTCACCCGAGATATAAATTTGAAAACTCCCATACCAGACTAACACCAGTCATGGTCTAGGTCTTGTGTCAGTACACTTAATTTTGGTCTTGGTCTTGATATTGCACACTCGGTCTTGGTCACAGTCTTGCTGTAAGAGTCTAGCAAGACTTGCTATTACCTATTGCTACTTATTAAAGTATCATATTCTATACTCTTTTAAAAAGTGACAATGAGGGCTGGTTTAGATTTTAAAACTACGCAACATTTTTATTACATATTGATATTTGCGAACCAAATAAAGAAAAAACAATCTTACAAAGTCTTATAATGGTTGGTTATAATTTTAGATATTTATGCTAAACTCGTGCATAAGATTAATATATATATAATAATAGATAATACTACTTACCTGAAAGTATCGCCGCGTTACCCACACCGGCCAATTAGTTAGTTCTTCTGCTTTCGGTGTACGTAGTTTTTGAAAATTCGCTACCTAGGAAGCCGCCAATTTCACATTTCACACAATGAAGACACAGTAAATGCACCGATCACGAGGAACTGGGTCAGCACACGTGTCGCGTTTTACCGGAACATCGTAATTTTTAAGTCAATCACTTTTGTTTCTAACGTCGAACGATTGTCACTCGTCTTTAGAAACTAATTTTATAATTTTATTTCTTTTAAATTAAATTAATCATAAATGTTTTTGTTTTCTTTCGAGCCTATACGGCTGGAATTATCTTACTTATTGTTTTTGTTACATTTTTATCACAAACTACCTATTATTTGATATGAGTAAAAATCTGTTGTCAATAGCTTTTGGTGTTATAACGACCAACCACCTTTTTTTTGATACCGATAGTAGAATACCTGAAAGGCGGTTGCTAGTGCTGCTTGTTGGCACCGCTTTAGCACGTCATGTTAGTTTGTAATGTTCTGCTGGATGGAATGTTGTAGGGAGAGTAGTAGTAGCCTCCGCAGCCTCCATACATCTTGCTTAGTACGTTTAAAGTTCAAAATTCAAAGGGGTAAAGAACTAGTGGTAATAAATCTAGTTTTATATATATTTATTCCGGTTTTTACAATATTTATGATCTTTAAATGTTTATCGCACAAGAGATTTATGATAACTGGTAAACGGCTCAAAAAAATAAGAAGAGAAGTCGTGTTTGCTGCCGCGATCGGGCAGGGAGTGACGGTCGAACGAAACAAAATCAGAATCCGAGGCAAAAGAGCTATGGAACAATTCAAAGTTTTAATTTAAATACGAGTGGCCAGGAACCGGAGAAAGGCGATAAAAAAGGTGGGATAACGATGTGAGGAGGTCACACCGTCACATGCCTATCAATATCTAGCGCCCAGGTCTGAGATTGACGTGAATACGAGACGCAAGAGTCTCGCAGACTCTATCTTATTCATGCTAAAATCTTATAGGATTGATCTTGACCAATCCGGCAAGATTTTAGATTAGACTTAGACATTCGCAATTTAGACTTTCGCAATCGTAGCAAGACCAAGGTCCTGCTATGATTGCGTTTGAGCAGTACAAGACCGAGACCTTTTGAGCAACACTGACGTCTTCGTAACGTCAAGGAATTCCGTAAACCCGCTACAAAAATAATAATGTACAACTGCTTAGTGCGAAGCATTCTCGAATATGGGTCAGTGATTTGGCGTCCTCACTATGTGAACCACATGTTGAGAATCGAAAGGATCCAAAAAAGGTTTATGTGGCATTTGTCGTTTTCATCGGGTGTAGCGCAAAGAATACGTTCGTACGATAGCAGGTTAAAAAAGTTTAAAATGGTTAACCTTAACAAACGTAGAGACACATTAGATATGATTTTTCTATACAAAATTATCCGTTACAAAATAAACTGTTCTTCACTCCTTAGCCAATTCAAACTTAAAGTGCCGCATAGATATCCCCGTCATAGAATTAAAGCTCTCTTTTCGACGCCAATTCGCAGGACAGTAGTGGGTCGCAACTCGCCAGTTCCTCGTCTATGCAGCTTGTATAACCGTTTTATCGTTAATATCAATAATTTAGATATATTTCAGGACTCTTTGGTTAAATTCCGTCGATCGATTACATCATCGTGACCTAATTTTCTTTAAACTTTCAAAACTTATTTTTTTTTTCTTTTAATAATATTGTTTACTATTTAAGTAAATACATAGATACGAGTCTAGGCCTTCGCGGACTACTTTTTTGAATTCACTAATTTACATGCACGTGGTGTTGATCTGTTAAAAAGTGTGGGGCTATGAGTGAGTGCGTTATTATTATTATCTTAAGGTCGTTCTCGGGTTTCTGAATCCGAACTCGATTTTTGACACAGCTAATTATAGGTATTCCGAAATTAATTTAATTAAACCGACGAATGACGATTTAAGCAGTCAGATAAGCAAGATAACCTCGAGCAAACAATCAACTATTGTAGTAGGCAGTTGTTATCAATGCGAAGGTCATCATTTTATCACACTTCTGTCTAGTTCTCTGTTCGATGCTAGTGTTCTGTAAACCATTAATGAATGTATTGATCGAGTAAACATTGCCACTTCTATTTGAATATTCGTATATAGTAACAATAGATTAATATACTGATTAGACGACGAAATTAAAGCGCATATACTTCCCTGGCTTGGCTATTTCGAAGGCGCGGGAGAAGATCGGCACGTGAAGAAGACCAGTAGGTCGTATCAGGTTTTTTTTGTAGTAAGTTTGTGACGATGCGACCCTTACGGTTTGTAGACAGGTGAAAGAAGCACTCCCGACGCCCAACGCCTGTCTATCTCTTAAAATTTATTAAACTCAAAAGTCAAGAGCTTCGCCAACTGCCGCCCTAACGGGTCATGGTCCATACAATAACTTTTCAATTTAGGTATCACAGCCCTCTATGCAGAGCGTGTTTGGAGGGGGAGGAAACGGTAGCGCACATCCTACTACAGTGCTCCGGCGTGGCCAACTATAGGACGAAATACCTTGGAGTGCCGCGGTCGTTCCCCGAAGCCTTCAGCAAAACGAGGAGGTTGCTGAGATTCCTGGAGGACCTTGCGTGGCACGAGTAGTACCCTGCACCCACTACACGCAAAATAGGTGCCTTGACGTCGAGTTGCGTACACCAACCCGGTACACCAAATGACGCTGCGACCTTTTTCATTCGTCATCCTACCTTTTTATCACCCTTTTCTCTGCTCCTGGCTATTTACTTTTGAATTTTGGAATCATTCTTTAATTCTTTTACATCGTCATTCTCACTTTTCTTCTTTCCGTCGTCACTATCACCAAATTCTCAAAGAGTGAGGACGTGCGTATGGATCCCTCATGTAAACTCAACGCAACTCACACAATCTAACTGTTTTAAGGCGTTGGATATATATACATATGTAGTAAGTGTCTGGACTTTGTTAATGCGTAATAAGAGAGCGTTTATATTGTTGTACCCATTGACTTACAAATAAATTGACGACGGGTTTAATACAAAAACCACGAAAAAAATGTCCCAAGTCAACCTATTTAAACGTAGTGACATGTAAAGGAATATGAAAAAGCTAAAACGTTGAATTTAAATTGTAATGTCATCGCAGTACTGTCTAATTTTGCTTGCCTCGCTGTCAGTCGAACAAACGAAGACTAAAGCGTGAATGACGCTCTGTATACGATTTTAACGCCCTATAAGTTCGGACACTTTTTACCGGACCCGACGTCCATATAATTGTAAGTCAATGGTTGTACCTGTTTTTATATTGTTTATTTTTGTTACAGCCTGTTCCCTTTCCATTCCTCTTGTTTACATTTTCTTTTGAATATGCAATAAATTTATGTGGACCAAGTCACTATTTCATTAAGCAGAGCTTTTTTTGAAATACTTCGTCCAGGGAAGTACGTACTGCTGTCTACTATAATATTTATTTTTGCGTTCCAGCAGTAATGTGAGCACACTTGGTCCGATATCCGTCCGAAACAATTACTGC